TCCCACTTGTAATTCCTTATTATTTCCATCCTTGTTGATGGATCCTCGTAGAAGGCTACAGGATTATTTTTAATTTTTTTCTGAGCACAAACACCTAATACATTTTGGATTTTAAAAATATGCACGAGAAGGACATACTAAAATATAAGGCTGTGATTTAAAAATAATCCTTTAAAGGGGAAGTGAGTTCAGTGTCTTTCCACCTTTTGTTTCTATTTGGCTTTGAGGTCTATCTCGATTATTTTTTATATCATTTTTAGGAGCTACCTGAACACTGACCAGTGCTAGAAAAACTCCATTGCTCAGGGGAAAAAAAAAAATAGAGAGATTAAATGAAGATATTTTTCTGCTCAGAACCAGGCTAATGAAATCCCAGAGTCATAGAATGTATTTGTCTGTCTTAAAAACACTTCTGAAAACTGAGCAATATTTTTAAACACGCAGGAAAAAATTGTTTGTATTTGTTAGGAGCTTTATGGGTAGTGAGAGCTGCTCTGTTGCCTGGGATACAAACCTGTTTGTGGCATGGAGCTCTCAATAATTGTTCAACATTTTGTAGTTATTATTTATAGTATATTCATATTTAATGAGCTGATGCACAGAGTGTATAAACAGCCCTGAAAACCAAATGGTTTTTAGCAACGTGGGAGAGAAGCTGAGCCGCAAGACTGTGTGTGTATAAACGCACGTATTATAGACGTGGCTGTGTAAATATGTACAGAGGTTTGCGTTTCAGTTTCTCTCCTTGTTCCTGAAAACGATTCACACGTTTGGGATGGAGCTCTGGGATGCAGCTGCGGCTGAACCTATCCCCGGCCCCAGACACCAATCTCCGCACCCGGCACAGAGCCCTGTCCTGCTCCTGCAGATCTGCAGAGTGTGGGATGAGGCTGCACAGGACAACAAAACCGTGTCTTTACTTCTTCCCTGCTTTTCGCAACAAAAACCTCTGCTCCAAAACCAGGACTTTGCGATACCGAAGCCTCTTAACACGCAGCATCTCCCTTTTGCAGCACAGTAACATCACCCACAGGACTGAGGAGTCCTAACGAGTAACTACACAAATAAACCCACCCTTAAATAAGGCTAAAAATAAAACCATACATTTTGTCCCGTAGAAACATTGAGTGGTTCTGGACTCTCTGGATATGTAGTTCAAAGAGTCCCTTGTAAAAGCCCTGTATGAGCTGCGGCTCTGCCCGGGGAGCTCTCCCTGCTCTGCCATCACCTTTCCGGGCCTGAAATAGCATCCCCGGAGGAAGAGCAGAGTTTCCCCGGGGGAAGAGCAGAGTTTCCCCGCGTTCCTCGCTCTATCGGCTCCGCTTCCCCAGCCGAGGAGCGGCCGAACCGGG